GTGGGCACGGCTTGGCTCTTAAAGGGACAGGACAGACCATTACATTTATTATAATGCTTATTACTATTGGTATAGTCGTTGTTTCTAAGTGTGTGTGTGTACAAAACTGGATTTTTAAAAACCAGTTTAGGATATCTGTATGTATATTTACCCACTTACCACCCAAAGTACATAATTTATTTTTAAAATACAAACCAGATGTGGTATTGCACTCCTTTGATTCCAGCACTAGGGAGGCAGAAGCAGGTGTATTTTTGTGAGTTCCAGTCTAGCCAGGTCTACATAGTAAGTTTCAGACCATGTTTTTTGAGATAGGGTTTCCCTGTGAATTTCTCTGGCTGACCTGAAACTCACTATGTAGTCCAGGCTGGCCTAGAACTGAGATTCTCCTCCCTCTGCCTCCTGGGTGCTGGGATTAAAGGCATATGCCACCACTGCCCAGCCTAAATTTTTTTTTAATAAAATATATACAAACGTTGTGTTTCACTGTAATACAATTTTAAGCCGTTTTTGTTCCTGCTAGAAGAAACATACATGCCATGTGCAAGTGTTATAGCTCTGGAGGGAAAGACACCCTGACTGTCAGAATTCAGGCAGTACCTCCAGCTGTGAAGGGAAGGGATCCTGGTTACCTGCAGCTGTGAGGAGGACGGCTGACTTCCTGACAAGCTGTGTTCTGGAGGGGGATGGTCTCTCTGCACATCTCTGTGGCAATCCCTCTACTCTCGGACAGAGAGTCTGGAGCTGTTGAGCTCTGCTCCACTCTCCTAAGTGAGTTTCCCCTCAGAGGCGTCCATTGCTTCTCTGCTCACTCTACAAAGAGAGTTTCCTAGCAGAGATTCTGCTTTACCCAAAACTCTTTCATTTTATTTATTTGGGATTTATTTATTTGAGATTTATTTGGGATGAAGGAATCCAGGAGAGCTGCTGACTGCCAGGGTGGAGAAGGGCAGCTGCCAACTGAACAGGCACAGGGCTTATATAGGGCTTCTTAGGAGTGGAGATTTTTTTCTAAGGAGAAGATTTTCAGGGTGGGAATTGGTCAAATTTTAATCTCCTGGATCTTGGACAAGCTCAGGGGGGCTAGATTTTGTGTTCAGGGATTGGTTGGTTTTATCCTCAGTTGGTAAGGGCAAACTTGGCTCTGGTTATAGCAACAAAGTATTTTTTTTTTTTTCCGGTTCTGGTTCCAGGGCCAAAGTGTGTTTCTTTGACTCTGGTTTCAGGATCGAGTG